TTGGGCCTTTAGTTTGGATACCTGATAACCATTCAGTCCCAGGAAATTTAATTATTCCACCGTGCACTGGATACATTCTTCCTTTGTTTCTGCATCAATTAACTAGTCATCCACATACTGTAACAGAGTCTCCATCTGTGTAGATGGCTTCCATGATTCCAGTTTTCCAAAAATTGTTGGACTGTTTTTAAACCCTTTAGGTAATACCGTCCAAGTTAACTGAGTTTCCTTTCCTGTGTCAGGATTTTCCCATTCAAAAGCAAATAATTTTGGCTTTCTTTGGCCAATGGTAAGCAAAAGAAAGCGTCCTTTAAATCCAAGACAGCAAACCATTTGTGATTATTATTCAATTTAGTCAGTAAGTCATACGAATTAGCTACTACTGGACGAATATCCTCTGCAATTTTGTTGACTGCTCTGAGATCTTGAGCCAGTCTGCTCAAATGTTGCTTCTCGCCCTAATAAAGATTTTGGAGAATTTGGCATGCATAAAAGTTTATGCATTCCTATTTGTTTTCCCAATTTGTACTTTAAAGGTTTCAGGAAGAAAGCCTCTTTTTTTTTTTTTTTCTCTTTCCCTTGCTGGCCAATAGGTCCCACATCTGTAACAAATTCTTTCCTCTCTGATTTAGCACGAAATAAGTTGCTCCTGTATTCACTAAAATTCCACTTTATTTTCTCTAGTGACTGGCATTTAATTTAACCGGTGGATCTGATAAGGTAGATTCCCGAGGTCCCTGTTATTCCAGTTCCAATTCAGCCGTAAGAGCCAAACCATGCCACACCCCCTGCCCCCCCCTCCCCCCCCCCCCCCCCCCCCGGCAGTCTCACTTCCAGCGTCCAAGCTCCCCATAGCACGCACACCGACCCAGTTCCACAGAAGACCCCACTCCCCCACCTCCGCCCAACATCCCTCCTCCCACACTCAAACACAGGAGCTGCTCGAGCTCCTCTCACTTCCACCTTAGTTTTCCCTTTCTTTTTCCTCACAGTTGCCCACCCTGCTCTGCAGCGGCTCCAGGCTCCAGATGCCTGCCTCGGCAACAGCACTTCTGCTTTAACCCTTTATTAAATCTGAATGTGGATCTGCTGCTTGTTGCCAGTGACAGCAGTCTCTTCCTCCTTATCAATATCTGATAGATGCAGAGGGTCCTCCTCTTGGAGGTTACCTGTGATGCAGAATTTTCCAACCTATCTTCCTGATTACTCTAGGTTTTTCTTAACTTTAAACATCATTCCCCCACTATCACAGGCTGAACAACATCTCTCCAACTTAGCTTTCTAGTTTTCCCTGTCCTTTTCTGAAGCCAAAATTAAGGAATCTGGCAGAGCTCTATTAATTTTGCATTCAGTCCGTCACGCCGGGTGGTTTCCTCAAGTGAAAAACATATCTGCATACATCATTTCATCCCATTTTACTTGCCCCCTCAAAACAACATTAATTGTAACAATGTATTATAGTTCAGAGTTCCATTTTTAGGCCATTTTTCCTGATCTACCAAAGTATACGAAGCCCACCATTGTTTACAGTATTTTACCGTTTTGTTTACTGAGCCCACAGGAAACCCTCCCAGTTCTTTCCAGTGTGCCAAAATGCACCCTAAAGGACTCTTTTTCAAGATCTCTCCGTTCTGCTGATTTTCCATTATCAATCTCGCATTCACACACACACACACAGGATCCCACAGACACACTCCACACAGTTACAACACATTGAGACAGAGACTAAAATTCAACCAACCAAACAACAATAACACAGTTATAACATCCTGCCGCCAATACCAAAATCACAAGACGAAAATCATTACTGTAACAAGCCACAAAGTAAGTCAAATACCAATAAGACCCAAAACCATTTCACAAGACACTCCCTGTGTTTTATAGGACCCAAACCACAAGATGCCCCCTGCTTCTTGTGGGTGTATACCAGCAGCCAGGTATATGCCTTTACCTACCACCTGTGTATTGATACACCAAAACCTTGGGGCAAGCACCTGCACTCTTTACCTCGCGTAGGACGTCTCCTCACGACTTACAGGTATCCCCTTTACCTGGTTCAAACATACCTGATGATTCACTAGTGATGGTCCTTGTCTGCCCCTGCGGTGATCTCAGTGGGGGAGTCCTCCCAAGAAATCTTCGGGGTGCCCAGAAGAGTCCCGTCCTCAGCAGGTCCCATAGCCAGACAGAGATTGTCCCATCTGGGGTGCCAAACTGAAGCATGGAATCAAACTCTACGACTCAAAGAGAGTTATAAAGCAGTTATGTTTCTTAGGGCGCAGGGTGTAAGGGGGACCGCTCCTCCTAACTTGCACACTGAGGGGTTAAGCAAGCAGATATGTATTGCACACAAACATGCATATTCATTAGGTTCCCGAGAGTTTGGCGGGGATATTACAATTACTTTAGGAACTCATTATGATAAGTCTCCTCAATTTTGGTGCTTGCGCAGTGGCCTCTGATGGTCGTGGGCAGGGCTCTTCAAGATGCAGTAAGCAGTCTTCCTCAGGGTGCACTTTTCACCTTTGGCACAGTGGGATGCCCCAGTAATCACAAAAGTAGCTGAAACCAGCCGTATCTGTAAGTTTCGGATTGCTGGCAAAGATTTGGGCAAGTGTGATCTTTGTACAAAATTTATGGCAAACAGAACAGGATGGGCAGACAAGGAATATCCTAAGCTGGCAGATGTTCAGGAGTCACTGTCTTCCATCTAACTAATAATTAGAAGGATGGTAAGAAATAATTCAGTCATAAGAAGGATGGAAAGAAGTACTTCACTCTTGTTAGCAAGACTACTAAATTCTGGTATCACACCACAGGCTTGCAACACAAACATTGTTCTCTATCTTAGACCTAAGTTAAGCTAAAAGTATTTTAAACCCTACATTTTCCAGGCACTTGCTTTCCTTGTATCACCAAGGGCAGCTCCCCCCTGTGCTCGGACAACGGTGCGGCCTCCCCTCACGGGTAGGTCACCTAGTGCGGAGTGTCCGGTGTGGGATGAGGTGCCGGCACTGCCAGAGGCTGCCCCCGCAGGCGGATGCCGGCTCAAACGTGGTTTTGCTCAAGGCTGCATCACCTCTCCCAAGTGCTTCATCTTCCATTACACAATGAGCAACATATATGTAATGGCTCTGAAAGGAATTTTATGCGGGAATGATACTAAAACCATACAGGCACATTTGAAAGGCACTTCCAGAGCAGCTCCAGTTCCCTTGGAGAAGCACAGGAAGTATTGCTCTTGGATTTATCCCTTTGATACCTAAAAGATGGCACTCCAAGTGTAATCTGGTAGAAGATGAAGCCGCAGAAGTCACAACTCTGCTTTACAGCATTCCTGTATGCTGTACTTACACTGGCCCCTCCATGGGGCTTGGCCACAGCAGAGACCATGGCGATGGATTACACCCACTCAAGACACGGCATTATGACAGGGAATATCTTCTGAAATACCTGTACACACGGAACTGTGCCTGTGTAAGAAAACAGCTCTCTTTTCAGATGCAAGATGCGAGAAGGTACGTAAACATCTGCAGCACAGCTTTTGAGAATAAACCTACAGAGGCTATGTTTTCAGGCAGCACACAAATCAACGTGGTGGTAGCTGCAAAGGATGACCCATAGTGCCACTGATCATTTCGCTGTCGCAGTGAATTTATAAGCAGTGTGTTCCGAAGCTCACTCAGGGGTCACACGGTGTATATTGGCAAGACAAGCTTTGTACAATGCCAGTAACATACCTGCTCCTTTCTTTAGCCTAGACCCTTTCCAGAGCCCATCCTCCCAGCAGACAGCCCCCCTTTTCCCCAGGTCTCTCTTACCTTGGGGCTGCACAGCCTACATGAACTGGGCTCTCTCCCTGACTGATCTCTCCCACCTCTCCTTCCTGCAGGGTGCCCATGTCAACTCCTCTCCTTCCAGTTCTCTGTCTGGGGTTTCAGTTAGTACAGGCGCAGACTCTACTGCTCTCCACTAGACCCAGTGCTGCTGCTTAGAATGCACCCCCGAACTGTCATAAGACATTACTTATAAATTATCATTAGTACCTTATACATTGTTTATTGTATGTCATATAAATAAACTCAAAGATATATGGTATAAAAAATAAAAATATTGACATGTTCCAAATATATAAACACTTTTAGAAATCCAGCTTCTTATTTTGAAGTGTTGAGTCCATTTTGTTCAGTAAGACTGCAGACTCAGAACTGCCAGAAGGACAAAAGTCAGAAGATGCTGTGAAAATAAATACATGAAAGTTGACACTTTAGGGTCCAAGACTTCCCCAAAAGTCCCACATTGTTTATAACCTAAGATAAGTCGACTTTGGAAATGATCAGGTTTTCTGACTAGTCTGCTACAGATAGCTGCAACAGACACACTCCAGACCCACCAGTGGCCATGCAGCCAGGCAGCATGAAACTGTCTCAATTCAAAGAGATGTCAACCAGCACAGAATATCTAGGCATTCTGGGAAGCACCCTGCTCACTATTCCCAAGTTTGAAGCCTCGACTTTCAGAGCATGTGTGTGAATTTGTTGTTTAAACTAACCTCCAAGACAACAGTCTTGCCTAAACCAGTGGGCATTCTGCAAAGGCAAGAGAGGCAGCTCCCTAGAGCATAGTTCACCTCTAGGGTCATCTTTCTAACCAAGAAACTGCCTTCACATGAGTCTGCCCAGCAAACCATGGAAAACTGGCTCGCCTTAGCCAGGAAGGCACAAACGCAACTACCAAATGGTCAAAGCATTTCTGAAGGGCAAGTGATAGTAGAAACTAAAAAAAACCAACTGCTTGCTCCCAGCTTTAGCCAGATTGCTCCTTCCCATCCCTGCTGGGACACTTTGATTAAACAGATTTACTGCACATATATATTTGATTAATCAGCAATTTGAGTCCCCCACCCCTTTTAAGATGGGGAGAAAGATCACACCCCTTAACCTAGAAGGTCTCCTGCCTTTCCCAATACTGTCTGTGCCACATTGTCAGGCATGACGCACCTGACAATGTCATCTTCTGGTTCCCCATAGAGCAACATTTCCCCTTCTCGCCTCTCTGCGCTCTCCATTGCAAGCAGTATTGCTGTTTAGTGCTGGAGATTAGACAACCTGAAAGGCAAAACCAGAGAGAGGTTTTAGACGAAATCTGCCTTCATGAAGGAATGGGTCTGAAATGCTGAGCCATACAGCAAGCAGCCTCTGAGCTGCTCCACCAGGCAGGGTGGTGAGGAGCAGCCATGGGCCATTTCCACGGCACAGCAGGCACTTTCAAGGAAGCAATCTTGCTTGTTCAGTTCAAATACCCCAGCAAACCTCAACACTAAAACCACCCAGCTCACCAAATTTTAGCCTGAGAGGATACCTACAACACAGCACACTGCATTTGGTTTCCCACTTCAGGATGGCTCCTGGCTGAAAATGATCAGAGACCTTCACATTAGCTATCTGCACCGAAATTGTGAGCAAGCTGCTTTCCACTAGTGCTACCAAACATTTCATCCAGTGCCAGACTCTGAAGAGTCAAAATGGCTGCTGCAGATGGCTCCTGCTACCACGCACACTCTCCTCTCCTGCCTAGCAGGGTTAACTTGAAACCCCAGAAGTAACTGAGTTCTCCCTCCTCTTCTGCGAAAGGAAACAAACAAAAAAATTCTCCTTGGATGTAGCAGGACACCCAAAGATCAAACAAGAAGCAGGAGTGAGACACCGGGCTTATAGCTGAGGCTTCTCTTAAGCAGAAATCCACCCACCTCATTTACAAAATGGACCTGTAATCAGCTTTATGCAGAGCAGCACCATCACCTTACAGGCAGCCTTGCCAGATCAAGAAGGAACTAAGCTGCTTCCTGGCTCTTGGAAAGCACTCACTGTAAGAGAGCCAACCCTCATGGTCTCTTATTCAAGGTCAGCCCCCTCAGGGCTAGAATGTTGCAGAATTACTCTAAGAGCAGAACCATAGAGTTCTGGAGGACTGTGCAAGCAAGGCGGGGAGTGGCCCCCACAGGTGGCCGGAGACCGGACCTGGGAGGAGAATGTGGAGGAAGCTGTGGGGGGCTAACCAATACTGTTGTGCCAAGAAGGAGTGGCTGAATACCACTCCTATATATGTGTGAACTGCGTCACAAATAAAATGGAAGTTGCTTATCACCCATATTGGGTTGGCCTGTCTGCTTCTCCTCGCCGCTTACAAATGGCGCCCGAACAGGGACTCGGAATACAGGGCCCCGGTCGACGGGGACCCGGATACAGGGCCCCGGACGACGGGGACCCGGATACAGGGCCCCGGTCGACGGGGACCTGGAACGGCGAGTGAGCGGCGCCGGCGGCAGTGGCCGGGAAGCGCGGGCAGTGCTGCTGCGGTGGCGTGATGGACCCGGATGCTTGGACTAACCGAAAGGAATCCGCTGTTGGGGCGAACCAGACACTGCTGCGTCGGGAGGCCAATCCGGAGACTGAGGTTACAGGACGACCCAGAAGAAGACGATCCGGAAAAGGCTGGCCATGAAAATGGACCGAGAGGTAGCCCTGGACTTATTACAGTGCTTTTTATAAAAGCGGGGAACTGAGCCCTGAACTTTTTACAGTGCTTTTTATAAAAGCGGGGAATTGAGCCTGAGACTCTAAGGCAGCTAGCAGGTCTGGTGGCTCTAGGGGAGGCTAAGGGATTTTTTGCAGATCCTAATACAGTATTTGAGGAGAGTGAGTGGCGAAAGTTTGGTGATGAGTTATTTGACTCAATGCTTAATGATGATAAAACGGCAAAGAAACTCGGTAAACCTTGGAGAGAAGTGATAAATTGCATAAAAAAATACAAGGCGGAAAAGAAAATTGCCGCTGTAGCAACAGAGAAGCTAGGGACAGACGTCCCCGGTCGGTTAAGGCCGGGGGAAGATTATAACTCGTTTCCCCCGACTTGCGGGGCTCTGCCTGTGCTCGGAGCGCAGGGTTTTTCCCCCTCCCTCCTCATCAGAAGGTGCAGCAGAGTGATACAGAGGGTTGACCATTGTACAGGGGGGTTGTACAGGGGGGTAGTACAGGGGGGTTGTACAAGGGGGTTGTACAGGGGGGTTGTACAAGGGGGTTAGAGGAATTTGTTTAAACAAAAGGACTATCTGTTGTAAATGCCTGCTAAGCAGAACAGAGACCTCCGGTCCTGTTAATAAGCAGATGCCTGAATCTGCTGATAAAGGGGAGAAGCAGAGGATTTACGGCTGGGACACTGATCAAACTCTACTGATAAAGGGGAGAAGTAGAGGATTTACGGCTGGGACACTGACCAAACTCTAAGGCCACACGTAAAGACTAAAAAAGGTGAAAAGTGCAAGAAGAGGAAGACTCATTTACTTCATCTTGAGACCCCTGTCCATGACCAGAGGGGGCACTGCGCAGGCGCAGAGGACCTTCTGGCTCATTATAATACGAAGCAGGGATAGGACATGAATATGTATAGGCGTATTGTGCAACCTTATGAATATATATAACTTTAGAGAATAAATGTAGAGGGAAACAACACTGAGGTACGCATGACTTTGAGGAATTATCCCCGTGCGTCTCAGCACTGAATAAAAAGCATACCTACTTTACAACTTTTAACGAGTTGTGGAGTCAATCCGCGCATCAGGAGGATGCGCAACTCCCTGCCCCCCCACCCCCCCCAGTCGAGCTCTGAGAAGCAGAGCGATTCCGACAGCAGGGACTTTGAAAAAGACAGAGTGTGATAGAAGGTATACGCATGATAAATGTCGAGGAATCCGGAAGAAAGAGGGCGGTATCCCGGTGCCGGATCGACTGGGACGCCATTTTAAAATACGCAGTAGAAAATAAAGACTACGCCCTAACGAGAGATCTGGAAGATCTGCGAGCCTTCCCAGTCCGGTACGAACCAGATGGACTGGGAGGAACACAGGGAACCCACTATGCCCTAGATTGGAAATTTTTAACTCAGTTACGAAGTACGGTGAACGAATCAGGACTGCACGGTGAGCCCACTAAACAGATGTTAAGTTATATTTGGAGTGGTACAGTGCTATGTCCTGAAGATATTAAGGGTATAATTAGAATGATAATGACACAAGCGCAGCAGCTATTGTGGCAGGCGCATTGGCAACAGCTCTGTGACAGATCATCAAACCTGCCCAGAGGCCAAAACGACCCGCTGTTTGGTGTTACTACAGAACAATTGATGGGAACTGGGCGATTTGCTAGTGCGGACATTCAGGTGCAAATGGGACCAGATGTCTGTCTGGAATCCATGCGTACTGCCCGGGAAGCCATGCAAGGAGTGCGCACGGCGCCCCCTATCCCCTCGTACATGTCCATTAAACAGGGAAAAGATGAAACATTTGCTGATTTTGTGGACAAAGTAACCACAGCCATCGGCTTAGCAGACACTCCGGATTACATGAGGGGTCCGCTGCTGCGCCAGTGTGTCATGGAAAATAGCAACGCTTATACAAAGAGCATTTTAGTTACCCTACCCGCAGATGCCACCATAGAACTTATGTTAGAACGCATGAGCAGGGTGCCAGTAGGAGCTCAGGCACTACTTGTAGAAACTGTTAAGGAAATGGGAAAAGAGCTCAGGCACAGAGGGAGGCAGCGCAGGCTCAGGTACAGGCTTTTGCAGCGCTGGGTCCAACGTAGTGCCGGCACAACCAAGAAGCGAATGCAAGCCGCAGATTCGTTGCTACAGATGTGGCGGAAGACACTTGAAACGGTACTGCAGAAGGCCTGTTTGGTGTTCTAACTGTCACCGAAATAGCCACAGCACAGAAGCTTGCAGCTGCTCGGGAAACGGACAGATGAGCGCGAATGGCCGCCGCGCGCAGATAACAATTGCGGCCCCTGCTCAGGCCGCCACCCAGTGGTCAGCGCCAAGTGCGACACCGTCGGCTGCCGCCCAGTGGCCAGCACCAAGAGCGACACCAGCAGCCGGGAGCAGCTGCCCGCAGCCAACCTGCAGCCCGCCACTAGAGGGAGCCTCGGCCTGGACCTGGCAACCGCAGTAGATGCGACCCTCATTGATCAACGGCCGCGTAAGATCCCCACAGCAGTCCGAGGACCACTAATGATAAATGGACAAGCCCATGGAGCATTGCTGCTTGGGCGATCCTCCAGTGGACTGAAGGGTCTGTTCATATTACCTGGACTGATTGATGCAGACTTTACTGGAGAAATTTGCGTTGTAGCTCAAACATTATTTCCCCCGATTCATATCCCTGTAGGGAGCAAGATTGCCCAGCTAGTCCCCTTGCCACAATTAACTGCTGCAATGCAAGATACTGGTTCCTTGGCCAAGCGGGGGTCCCAAGGATTTGGCTCCACGGGAGGACTGGTAATGCTAACTGTCCCAATGACTACCAGACCTGTAGTGGACTCCACATGGTCTCGAGGGAACGAGCGTCTAAATTTACCGGCATTACTGGACACTGGAGCAGATATCACCATAATAAACACTGACAAGTGGCCACACTGGTGGCCGTGTCACCCCACCCTGGGTGGAGTTGAGGGCATTGGTGGCACTGCTTCTGTGTAATGCAGCTCTGATTTAATACAGGTGGCCGTTGAAGGTCAGGTTGCTTCTATCTATGCAACCATTATGCCGCTGCCCACTGGGGTGAATGCCCTAATCAGCCGAGATGTGCTAGACCAGCTGGGACTGGTGCTGACTAACCAGCATTTTTAGGAGAGGTCGCTGCACAATGGACTTTCCCGATCCAGCTCACATGGACTACTAACACTCCGGTGTGGGTTGAGCAGTGGCTGCTGAAAAAGGGAAGTCTGGAGCAAGCACAGCTTTTAGTACAGGAACAATTACAACAGGGACACCTATGACCTTCCATGAGCCCCTGGAATACACCAATTTTTGTTATAAAAAAGAAATCAGGGAAATACAGACTGCTACAGGACTTGAGAGCTGTGAATGCACAGATACAAGCAATGGGTGCCTTGCAGCCAGGTTTGCCCAACCCTGCTATGCTCCCAGAGGGTTGGCACCTGCTGGTTATTGATCTTAAGGACTGTTTTTTCACAATTAAGCTGCATCCATTAGATACTGCACGATTCGCTTTTAACTTGCCAATGCCAAATAAAGCAGCACCTTCTCGCCATTTTGAATGGACAGTACTGCCACAGGGAATGAAAAATAGCCCTGCCCTGTGTCAGCTATTTGCAGCCAATGCGCTCCAGCCCCTTCGCCGGATGTGGCCGGGAACATTAATTTATCATTATATGAACGATATTCTATTCTCCCAAAATCATCCCTTCACGACGGACCAAGAGATTCTACTGGAGCAGCAACTGAGCAAACAAGGACTCGTTATTGCGGCTGAAAAAATTCAGCGCGGCCCTGCTTGGAAATATTTAGGTTGGCATATTACAGAAGGCCAGGTGCGACCACAGAAACTGCAACTTCACATTCAAATCTCGACCCTACATGACGCACAGCATTTACTTGGAGATATACAATGGCTGCATCCTGTCGTGAGCATTTCAAACGATGATATTGACACTCTGAGACCCCTGTTGCAGGGCACTGACCCAGCACGACCGGTGTGACCCACATCGGAACAGCGGCTAACCATCCAGCGCATCAGCACACAAATCGTACAGAGATGGGTTGACCGTAGAGACCCAGACCTTCCTGTAGACCTTACAATACTACAAGGCCCTAAGCAACTCTTGGGTGCACTGACACAGTGCAAAAAGAAAAGGGGGGAGGAGGTGAAGATATTGGAGTGGCTTTTTACTGCTGTCCAGCCCAAAACTACTATTCAACAGAAAATAAAAAATTTAGCAGAATTGGTTCAAAAGGGCCGAATGAGGGTGTTGCAATTAACGGCCCAGGAACCCGGAACTATTTACCTGCCAATAAAACGGCAGGATCTTGAGTGGTATCTCCAGCACTCACAGGCGTTACAAATCAGCCTGCTGTCTCAGGCTGCGGACCTTAAGGTAGAGCAACTGCAATCCACTACCTTGCGCTGGATCAGCCAGCAAGAATGGATCAAGGTCCCAAAAAGGACTGAGCGCCCGCTGGCCAATGCAGTAACGGTTTTTACAGACGCTGGAAAGAAGTCTCGGCGCGCCGCTGCGACTTGGATCCAGGGTGACACATGGCACCAGCAGATACTGGCCGCGGAAGCGGAGGACTCACTGCAGACTTTAGAGCTAGCGGCGGTTGTCTGGACCTTCTTGAACTGGCATCACACAGAGATAAATGTAATCTCTGATTCTATGTACGTCACAGGTGTGGTTCAGTGTATTGAGGATGCTCGGCTCAGAGAGTGTCGAAACCGGTGGTTGTTTGACCTGCTGCGTCAGCTGCAGGCAGCCATTCATCAGCGGGAGTGTGCTTACGCCATCATCCACATACGGAGTCATAAATGGTCACAGGGGTTGGGGGAAGGCAATGACAGAGCAGATCAATTAGTTTCCATTGTTGCACCCCTGAGTGACTTCATAAAAGCCAGAGAGGCCCACAACACCTTTCACCAGAATGCTAAGGGACTATTCCGTCAATTTAAGATTACGATGGAGGAAGCAAGAGGCATTGTCAGGGCCTGCCCCAGCTGCAGCCATCATGGACCAGGGCTGGGAATTGGGGTGAACCCTTGGGGTTTGGGCCCTTGTGAAGTATGGCAGATGAATGTCACACACGTGCCACAGTTTGGACGCCTTAAGTATGTGCACGTCACAATTGACACACATAGCAGATTCCTGTGGGCCACGGCCCAGACAGGAGAAAGGGGTTCCCATGTAGTGCGGCATCTAACTAGCTGCTTTGCCGTTATGGGAGTCCCTCAGCAAATAAAAACGGACAATGGGCCCGCCTATGTAGGTGAGAGAATGCGCCAATTTTGTCAAAAATGGGGAGTCAAACATGTGACTGGCATTCCCCATTCGCCAACGGGACAGGCAATAGTTGAGCGGGCGCATCAAACCCTGAAACGGTACCTTGAAAAGTTCAGTGATGTTCGCGACGTGCAAGAAAGACTAAGGCGCTGTTTGTTCTGAACTACTTGTGCATTTTTGCAGATCAGGACTCTCCCCCTGCTCAAGTGCACAGCCGAGCCACGGCGTCCGAATCGAAGGCGCCTATGATGGTCATGTACCGTGATCCCAGCATGGGCTTATGGCAGGGCCCAGCAGAAGTGAAGTACATGGGGCGAGGTTATATGTGTGTGCTTACATCCACAGGTACACAATGGGTTCCTGCGAAGTGGACCAAAACAGTATCCTTATCTTCTTCTGCTCTTCCTGACAGGAATAAAGACTCCGGAAACGATCAACCGTCTACCTCCGCAGCCCAGGAACAACGGGTGGGGGATGATGGTTAAGTTGCAGGGTAGAATGCCATCTGCCTCGCCTTACCTTCCCCTGGTAAACCATTTCCAATATGTTTGGTTGGTATTATGATAAGCAATTGACCCTTGCCGGTCTGCCATGTCGTTTGTAGCACTACCAACCTCAACAACTCAACAGACAGTTGGGATGCTGGGGTACCATATTCGCCTATTGCCCCAAATGGACCTTGGGAGTAGAATTATTAGGGGCCGTGCGAATGGGTACATGCGTAATACTTAGCTGAACAAGTGCCTAAGCCAAGGTGAATAGTGCTATAAAAGGTGTAAATTCTAATCCTTTAGATTACAGGAACGTCAGCGTGTGGTTCAGGTAAGCTTCCCGCAATACTTCCCGCTCTACCGATCATCCCTTGAGGCTGCTCAGCAGAATGTTCGGATCTGCAGCGATCCAGCCTGGCCAAGCAATCCTTCAATAAGGAAAAGGGACTTTGTTACTGGAGGACTGACCTCACCGACCCTTAGCACTTCAGTAACAGCACCGCTCAAGGTGCTTAAAGTGCCTTATTTTAGCCTCACTGTTAAACTGTAGATCTTATGTAAGTTTTGCTCACTTGACACTATTATATCAGTTTCTTTCCTCCTGCCAGGCATGGCGTCAGCCGGGGCCTTGGCTCAACTAAGCAGGCTGGGTTGCTGAGTTGCTAAGCAGACAATTCTACATCGAAGTCAATTTCTGATTTGTTGACGGCAAGACATGTAACACTGCAGAACCTTTTGTTGTTGGAACAGGGACATGGATCTGAGGAGTTTGCTGGAATGTGTTGTATGAGTCTCTGATTATGCTAATTCGATGTACGTACAGCTGAGAACCCTGGCTCAGCTTACCCAGCAATAGTAAATGAGCAGTATTCTAAGAATAATTAGATGGTTGTTTTCACGGGGCATTACAGGTTGAGTCAAACACTGTTTAAAAGTATTGCACTTATGTATCATTGATTAGGTTAATCATCGTAGCTATTAGACTTGTTTATAGTTGTGTGATAAAACAGGTGAACAGATTAACCCATAATGCCTTGCTTGCACAAAGAAAAAGGGGGGAATTGTTGCAGAATGACTCTAAGAGCAGAACCATAGAGTTCTGGAGGACTGTGCAAACAAGGCGGGGGGTGGTCCCCACAGGTGGCCGGAGACCGGACCTGGGAGGAGAATGTGGAGGAAGCTGTGGGGGGGCTAAACAATACTGTTGTGCCAAGAAGGAGTGGCTGAATACCACTCCTATATATGTGTGAACTGCGTCACAAATAAAGTGGAAGTTGCTTATCACCCATATTGGGTTGGCCTGTCTGCTTCTCGCTGCCTGGGAGAACAGCACAAGGGGCACATCAGTCAACCAGCTTTGCACCTGGGGAGAGTAGGGATGGAGTGTGACAGGCACACATGAACTTCCTGAAGAGCCTTTGTTCTGGAGATAGCCAGTATTTGCCCTGCCCATCCCAGCATGCAGTCAGCTCTGCCTGGGACACCCCAAGCAGGGACAGTGACAGGCACTTATAGCTGATGAATGTAAAGCAGTGTTGTGCTAGGCACTATGAGGCTTGAATAACAGATCTGTTTCACCCAACAAAGGAGAAGCTGGGACAGCAATAGGCATCATAGGCCTTTGTCCTTCAAGCTCTTTATTCAGCTCAGCAGGATCCAGAATTATAGACCCATAGAATAGCTGGGGTTGGAAGGGACCTTAAAGCTCATCCAGTTCCCAGCCATGCCATAGGCAAGGACACCTTCCACTAGCACAGGTTGCTCCAAGCCCTGTCCAACCTGGCCTTGAACACTGCCAGGGATGCAGAAGAGCCATGTGTCCCCAGGGCAGCAGCAGAACCCAGCGCATCTCCTGTCCTGAAACACTCAGACATCCTCCTGGAGGAGCTGTGTGCAGACAACACTGCAGGGTATGAGGCAGCCGCTCTGGCACGCTGCCTCAGCCGCTGTGCGGATGCTTGCTCGCAGCAGCCGAAGGAAGAGATGGAAGAGGCCTGACAAGCGCTGGCCCGGCACAGCCGCACACAGCCTCGCTGCTCCCGAGCACACGGCTGGCAGACGGCAGTACAGGACCCGGACAAGCTTGAGGACCAGGCCAGAGCCACGGGCTGGGCGCTGCTCCCGGGACCGGCCGCCCAGGCATCGGGGGGCAAAGGCACACGAACACGGCCCACACGGGCTTCCCGGCCTAACGCAGCCGGTACCGGGCCTACATTTCCCAAGGAACCGGAATGGGGGGGCGGGCCCAGCGGAGCAGAGGCCCGCGGGAGGTGAAGGCGACCCGCGCGTAATCACGAGTGCCTCAACCCGGGGCCGGCCCCACCGCGTTACCATGGACACGCGCCGCTCGCACTCACCCTCTGCCGCAGCCCCCGCCACCCGCCCTCCACCCCGCGGCGTGAGACAAACCCCGGCCGGGCAGCCCCGAATTTATCACCCACGGTGGGGACTGCGCAGCCAATCAGGAGCCGCCCGCAGCACGCGCCCGCGCCGCCGATTGGTGGAGGCGGCCGGGACACCACACAGCGGGCCTAGGTCCCTCCCCCGCCTCGTTTCGTCTCTCCTCGGCCAACGGCGACCTCAAGTTCTTCCTCATGTCCAGGTGAAAGCTCTTGTGTTTCAGTTCATGGCCACTGCTCCTCATCCTGGGGCTGCCCACCACTGAAAAGAGTCGGGCACCTTTCTCGTGACACCTGCCCCAAACCTCCAATCAGCTCCCTCCACCGCCTCTCCCCTTCTTCATCTCTGAGGGCTCATTCTCCTAGGAAGAAACTGCTTTCACCCTCCACAAGCACAGTGGTCAATGGGAGGGGGAGATAGCGGGCTTTGCTCACAGGGTATCAGACCTCACTGCTCCCCACACTCACTCCACCTAGGGCTCCCCACCCCTGTGGGTCTGCTGGTGCCGGAAAAGCGCTGAGCTCACTCTGAAGCCCTTCCCACACTCAGTACAGACGTAGGGACGCTCCCCGGTGTGGATGCGCTGATGCTGGATGAGGTGGGCACTCTGCCGAAAACTGTCCCCGCAGTACGCACAGGTGTAGGGCCTCTCCCCAGTGTGAATCAGCAGGTGTTTCATGAGAGCGGAGCTGTGGCCGAAGCTCTTCCCACACTCCGTACACCCGTAGGGTTTCTCCCCGGTGTGGACCTGTTGGTGTCGTGCCAGGGCTGACCTCAAGCAGAAGCTCGTTCCGCAGGTCTTGCACTCATAGGGTTTCTTCCCAGTATGCACCCACTGGTGCTGGACGAGCTTAGAGTTCTCACAGAAGCTCTTCCCACACTCGGCACATCTGTAGGGCTTCTCCCCTGTATGGACCTGCTGGTGTCGTATTAGGGATGAACTCACGCTGAAGCTCTTCCCACAGGTCCTGCACTCGTAGGGTTTCTCCCCGGTGTGCACCCTCTGGTGTCGCATGAACTGCGTGTTGTTGGAGAAGCTCTTCCCGCACTCGGCACACTTGTACGGGTTCTCCCCAGTGTGAATTAGCTGGTGCTGGATCAGGTTCGAGCTAACGCTGAAGCTCTTCACGCAGGTACTGCACTCACAGGGTTTGTCCCTGCTGTGGACCCATTTGTGTTGTGTCAGGGCTGAGCTCACACTGAAGCTCTTCCTGCAGGTCCTGCACTCGTATGGTTTCTCCCCAGTGTGAAACCGCTGGTGCCGGACGAGCTGCGTGTTGTTGGACAAGCTCTTCCCACACTTGGCACACTTGTAGGGCTTCTCCCCAGTGTGGATTACCTGGTGCTGGATCAGCTTCGAGCTCAGGCTGAAGCTCTTCCCACAGGTGCTGCACTCGTAGGGTTTCTCCCCAGTGTGCATCCACTGGTGCTGGATGAACTGCGAGTTGTCAGAGAAGCTCCTCCCACACTCGCCACACTTGTAAGGCTTCTCCCTGGTGTGGGTTACCTGGTGCTGGATCAGCTTTGAGCTCACACTGAACCTCTTCCCGCACTCAGAGCTCTTGTAGGGCCGCTCCCCTGTGTGGATCCTGTGGTGCTGAATAAGATGTGACCGGTTCTGGAAACTCTTCCCACATTTGTTGCAGGTGAAGGGTTTTTCTCCAGTGTGGATTCTCTGATGCTGGATGAGGTTGGAGCTCCCCTGAAAGCCCTTGGATCTCTGAATCCTTTCTGACCTGCGTGGGAGAACAGGGTCCTGTGTAGCACCCTGGGAACTGTTCTCCTCGGAGAGTCCTGAGCAGAAACCCTTGGGCTCCCCTGTCCTGGGGATGCCCTGATGGGCACTGTCTTCATCCGTGCTCACAATCTCATCTTCAGCTGCAATAAAATGAGAATCCAGAGAAGTCATAGGCAGGACTGGAAGCCTTGGACAGGGCAAATCACAAGGGGCCGAATGCTAAAAATTCAGCAAATAGATTGACTTTAAGTATAAAACATCCTGCTATATCCTGCGTTCAGGACATGGTATTTCCTTCCAAACTACACAGTGGATTTTTCAGAGTGTTCACAGGAGCAAATGCTGTAAATGACCCTGCATGCTTCAACAGAACCTGAATCTACTGAAATCACTGGCATATTAGAGGCAAAAGTTTACTGCTTGAATGGGAAAGATGCTTGCTCTTCCAGGATGGTGTACCTGAAAATCACAGAACCACAGGATGGTTTTAGCTGGAATGGACCTTACAGATCCCATCCAGTTCCAAACTCCTGCCATGTGCAGGGACACCTTGCGCTAGATCACATTGCTGCAAGCCCCATCCAACCTGGTCTTGAACACTGCCAGGGATGGGGCAGTCACAGCTGCTCTGGGCAACCTGTGCCACAGCCTCAGCACCCTCACAGGGAAGAACTTCTTTCACCTTATCTAAATCTCCCCTCTGTCAGTTTAAAGCCATTCTACCTTCTCCTGTCCCTACTTGCTCTTGACAAAAGCCCCTCTCCACATTTCTTGTAGAGCCCTTCAGGTGCTGGAAGCTGCTCTAAGATCGCCCCAGAGCCTTCTCTTCTCCAGGCTGAACAAGCCCAGCTCTTTCTGCTTGTCTCCACAGGATGTTACTAAAAGTTGAACTGGGAGTCAGAGGAAGGCCGTGAACAACTGCCTTGTTTCAGCAGAACATTACTTGGGTTGCAACACTAATCTCCATGCTCTCTTGCTGCCGGTACTGCAGAGAAAGAGAAGATGCACAAGGCATGAGACACAGACACCACCTGGAGCCTGGCTTATGCCACTCTTAGAGCAGAAGACAATTAACTTTATGCTTTCACTGGTGCAGAACAAATCCGTTGTGCATGCAAGGTGGTGGGTGAACTGAAGATCCCCCATGGCTGGTTCCAGATCATGCAACGAGGAAATACAATACATGTAGTAGATGAAGGTAGGTGCAAGTCGAATTAAGGGTAGCTGAACAGTTACGAATGGCTCCTGGGACAGAGACAATGAACAGATCCCTGCCCTCTTATGTATATAAAGTCTTGCAGTAGCGTTACTGGTATATATGTTCACTGCGCAGACCCGAGGTCACCTGAAAGCCTGTTCAAGACAAAGGGCTTGTGCTGATTCCTTGTGCTGACAGACCTTGAAAAAGCCTTCACAAGTACATGACAATTAAGTTTTCTATGGTGTTCTATACTTTTTTTGGAAGATCAGGAGTGTCAACCTTCGTTTTACAATTATTGTAACAGCTCTAGCACGTCTACAATCATTTCTGTTACTTCTGAGCTCCTAGGTACCTTCACTGGCATCTAGGACACGCTGTCTGGAAAGGCTTTGATCAAAACCATGACAGGAACTCACTGGAAGTATTTCAAGTGGAAGGAGAGCAAGGTCACAATGATGAGGATTTAATACTAGAAGCATAAGGCTGAACTGGAAAAAATGAAGACGAGAAACATGAAGAATGTGGCTCTTCCTCAGCCCATGCCAATTTGGGTTGATGGCAAGACCTCTGATATGCCCAAGAGTGCCAGTGCTGTAGCTACAAGGCAAGCTCCAGGTAAGCAGAGTAAGCTGCTGGACTACTGACTGTGGTACCTCACTGCTGGGACTGAAGGTGGCTGTTGTGATGCCACAGAAAGGGCTGGAGGGGAGATCTGGCACCCAGCATTCCAAGCAAGCGGCTCCGCGATGAGCAGGGAGGGAGGATGGATCCCCCATGTCAGAGACACTCTGACAGAGCTGAGGAAGACAGAGGCATGACAGGAACCATCAGAGGCACAGAGCAGCTTCTGTATAGGAGATGAGTCAACTGCCCATTCTGCTGGGAAAAGGTACAGCTGATAGTGGGTATCACAGAGGACTATAAAAACACAAATGGCCTGTGGGGTGGTCTGGCATCTATCCTGCACTATCTGTTCTACAAGATACTTCTGGGCAGATTCTGGTTGGACACAAGAGGAAAAGTTTTCCCAGTGAGAACAACCAGCCATTGCAATAATCTCCCCAGGGAAGTGGTGCACTCCCCAGTGTTGGACGCTTTAAAGACTCAGCTGGACAGGGCACTGGGACATCCAGTCCAGGTCATGCTTTGCCTGGAAAAGTTGTACTGGATGATCCTTGAGATCCCTCCCAGCCTGGTGCCCTGTGGCGCTATGAATACCGTCGCCACAGGCAGCAGGTGAAGCTGGACGGGCCCTGCTCCAACCCAGCACCTCCGCCCTTGTACATTCTGGGGGCGCTGGTGCTCCCGGAGCACTCTTTCTCATGACGGGTTCACACTGACGGCCCTTACCTGAGGTGCCGCTCAGAGCACTCTTCCCTTCGCAGGAGCGGGACAACCGCAGTTCCTCCTTCTGATCCATGTGGATGAGCATCTCCGGCGCCGCTCCGGGGAAAGAAACGAAGAGGGTCAGGCCAGCTGGGCTTTCACCGACCGCTACCAGCGGCGCGGCTCGGGAGCTAGCGGCTCCGCGACGAGCAGGGACCCCGGCTCCAAGGGGCGTGCAGCGGAAAGCACCGGGCCCCGCAGCACGCCCCTGCCAGGGAGGCTCACGCGGCCGCGGGGGGCGGGCTTCCGGGCCAAGCCCTACCGGGTCAGGCCCCGCTCCCTGCGGCCCGGCCAGGCCCGCCCTCAACGCCTGGGCCGGCGCACCAGGGGGGTGCTGCCCCGTGACGGCAGCGACCAGCGACGGGCGGTGCTTTCGCCTCCACGGCCGGAGGGAGATGGCGGCGCTGGGCTTCCGGTGGCGATGGTGCCGTCCTACGGTGGGGCTCCCCCCGCGGGCCTGCCGGTACCGAGGGCAGCTCACCCCCCCTCTCGGATACCGGCGCGGCCTCCCCCCGCGGGTGTGTCTCCTGCTGCCTTAGCCTCTGAAGCTCTGTCTGCTCTCCCGGGCGGGGCTTCCGGTGCGGGATGAGGCGCTGGCGCTGCCGAAGACTGTCCCCGCAGGCGAAGGGTCTCTCTCGGGGTACCTGTGGGAGGCTTCAGCTCTGTGTGCGTGCTGGGAAGGCTCATCCGTGCCAGACCAACAGCAAATGCCCATCTCGGGGGCAATGTACACCCTTCATGGCAGGTGATCGATGATCAAGACACGGCAGCGTGTTACTAAGGAAGAAGCCTCCGTTTTATGGATGTTTTCGGTCCTTAAGGTGAAGGGAGCAACCTTCAAAGAGACAGACTTAATGTTGAAATGGTTGAAGACGTGTTATCCAGAGATTGATGAGTCTAATGCACAGACTCCACAACTTGTTAGAGTTCTAAAGTAGGTATGCTTTTATTCAGCACTGAGGCGCATGAGAATTGCTCCTCCAAATGTATGCACAGCTTTCTTTTGCCACTCAGTTTGTTTATATTACATATAATGATTACCTAAACATGAGATTGCTTCACGCCTCATACATAACGCAAAACCTAGTCTTTGTACTATTATAATTAGTTTTCTCGCATTTATTCCATTGGTGCACCTGCGCAGTGTCTCCTGGTGGTGGTCATAGGGGGTATTGATGATGAAGGCCTGTAGTTCGTCTTGATCACTGCGAGTAACCTCTTGCTCTCACGCAGACTCAATAGGGTTTTGGCTCCTATCCAAACCTCAGGTTCGGTACAAGCCAGTTTTATGTATCTTAAAACAGAAACTTGTCAAGTTTGCAAATTTTGTTACTCTCGCTATCTTTTGTTCCTTTTCTTTGTAAAGATACTATTTAAAAAAGAATGTCTTAAATGTTAAGTTATGAATCTTATCTACTACAGTTCTGCCTAGCAGCTGTAACACTTACAGTTCTGCTTCACGGTCTGAGCAACTTTGACTCCTACGGTTCTGGTTCACCAAGCACAGTGACTGCTTAAGCAAGCTGGCACAATGTTAACCCTTTATTTCCCAGTATCAAGTACACCGTATTTGAGGTCTCTTTGTGCAATGGGGCAGGAGTTAAATTGTGGGACGCAGCCACAAAACGTGCATGGTACATAGAAAAAAGAAAAATAGAGTAGTTAGAGAACATACTGAGAATTGTCGTACAAGATAAACCATTGTAGTTGACATTGATTTAGGCCCTATGACCTTAGTACAAAATGAATGTAAGAAAAAACAGTCCAGAAGAACAGGATGCAAGGATAAGGAGTATCTGGGAATGGCAGGTGTCCAGGATGGGCTGCAGTTAAACTAACAGATAAGTAGGAGGATAGGAGGATTATTATGTCTGTGGTGATAACGAACCAATTCAGCTGGTATAAGCATCTACTGCGCGTGCTTCAGAGGCTGCCAGAAGTGATGAAGATTGTTCGAAGACGTAAACGACCCTCAGAGACCACCACCACAATTCTGTACGCATGTGGGGAACTTTCTGGAAAATGATGTAATCCATACATAGCCTCATGAATATGTATGTATGCCCAGGGACTATATAAGGATGGCTTGTGCAGCAATATGGGGACACACGTTAGGAGGAGCTGTCCCCCATGTCTCCCGGCACCGCAATAAAGAATACCTGCTTGCCAACTTAAAACTTTGTTGGCGAGTCTGTTCCTGAAGTTTTCTCTGTATCAATTTGGCATCCCAGATGGGACCCTCTGCTCAGCTGCAGGACCCACTGAGGACAGGACTCCCTAGGGCACTCAGGAATTTTTCCCAGAGGGACCCCTCGACTCATTCAGATCACTGCAGGAGCAGACAAGAACCATCTTCATAAAAGGTATTCTTTTCTTTTGTATAGTCTGTAAGGTGCAGGGGGCATCTTGCATAAAGACTAAATTGGTGATTGGGCTGGGTTGGTAAGCGTACAAAAGGTTTGGAAGCCTTCCGTAAATTGAGATAGGAAATCTCATGGGTAAAGGCATATACCCAGCTACTAGCATCCATTTGGTATGCACCCACAAGAAGCAGGGGGCATCTTGTGGTTTGGGTCCTACAAGACGCAGAGGGTCTTGTTACATTAATGATTTTGGTCTTTTGATGTTGGCATCACTGACAGACTTATAACTGTGTTATTCGCTATGTTTTGATTGATAGAATTTTACCCTCTGTACGTGTTTCAAGTGTTGTAACTTTGTGGAGTCTGTCTATGGGATCCCTAGTGTGTGTGTGAGTAAGATTGATAATGGGAAATCACCAGAGTGGAGAGATCTTGAAAAAGAGTCCTTTAGCATGCATTTTGGCACATTGGAAAGAACTGGGAGGGTCTCCTGTGGCTCAGTAAATAAGAAAACATTGGTAAAATATTGTAACCAATGGTGGCCTTTGTATAATTTGGGAGATTGGGAAAAGTGGCCTACAAATGGAACTCTGAACTATAATACATTGTTACAATTAATGTTGTTTTGAGGGGGCAAGGAAAATGGAATTAAATAATGTATGCAGATATGTTTTTCACTTTAAGAAACCACCCAGAGGGACAGACTGAATGCAAAATGAATACAGTTCTGCCAGATTCCTTAATTTTGGCTTTGGAAAAGGACCGGGAAAAATTGAAAGTTAAGATGGAGAGATGTTGTTCAGTCTGTGATGTAGGGGAAAGATGTTTAAAGTTAAAAAGCAGTAATCAAGAAGATAGGTTAGAAAATTCTGTATAACAGGTACCTCCGAGGGAAGCACTGTCCACATCTGTCTATCAGATATTGATAAGGAGGAAGAGATTGCTGTCACTGGCAACAAACAGCAGATCCACATTCAGAGTTAAGAAAGGGTTAAAGCAGAAGTGCTGTTGCCGAGGCAGGCATCTGGAGCCGCTGCAGAGCAGGGTGGGCAACTGTGAGGAAAAAGAAAGGGAAAACTAAGGAGGAAAGGAGGGGAGCTCGAGCAGCTCCTGTGTTAGAGTGTGGGAGTAGCCATGTCGGGCGCAGGTGGTGGGCTGAGCCCTTCTGTGAAACCGGGTTGGTGTGCGTGCTATGGGGAGTTTGGACGCTGGAAGTGAGACTGCTCTGGAGGGGGGGAGTGTCTTGGCTTGGCTCCGGTGGCTGCTCTGGCTGAAACAAACCCCTGCCCGGCCGCCCCGAATTTATCACCCACGGTAGGGACTGCGCAGCCTATCAGGAGCAGTCCGCGACACGCGCCCGCGTTGCGGATTGGTGGAGGCGGCCGGGACGCCACACAGCGGCCCTAAATCCCCGCCCCGACTTCGTTTCTCCTCGCCTCGGCCAACGGCGACTTCCGAGGGGCGCGTGAGAACCCGGCCCGCGGAAGGCCGGAGTGAGCTTCCGCGCAGGCGCAGTCGGGGAAGGCAACGCGGCAGCACTGAACGTACGTTTATTGCGCGGGGCCATTGCGAGCGGCACCAGCCATGGGAGCCGACCCCGGGGCTCACCCGATCCCAGCCCTGCCGTGGCAGGGGCACCTGAACGTGTCTTGGCGGGGCTTGGATGTGCCCAGAGTGGGAGCCTCCACATCCCCCTACACAGCCCCTTCAGTGCTCTGACACTGCAACAGAACAAGTTCTTCCTCATGTCAAGTTCTTCCTCTCATATGAAAGCTCTTGTGTTTCAGTTCATGGCCACTGCTCCTCATCCTGGGGCTGCCCACCACTGAAAGGAGTCACGCACCTTCCTCCTGACACCTGCCCCAAACCTCCAATCAGCTCCCTCCACCACCTCTCCTCTTCTTCACCTCTGAGGGCTCTCATTCTCCTAGGAAGAAACTGCTTTCACCCTCCACAAGCAGGGTGGTCAATGGGAGGGGGAGAGACCGGGCTTTGCTCACAGGGTATCAGACCTCTCTGCTCCCCACACTCACCCCACCTAGGGCTCCCCACCCCTGTGGGTCTGCTGGTGCCGGAAGAACGCTGAGCTCGCTCTGAAGCCCTTTCCGCACTCGGCACAGACGTAGGGACGCTCCCCGGTGTGGATGCGCCGGTGCTCGATGAGGTGGGGACTCTGCCGAAACCTGTCCCCACAGTAGGTGCAGACGTAGGGCCTCTCGCCAGTGTGGACACGCTGGTGCTGCAGCAGGGCTGACCTCCACAGAAATCTCTTCCCACACTCACTGCACTTAAAGGGGCGGTCCCCGGTGTGGACCCGCTGATGTCGTATCAGGGCTGACCTCACACTGAAGCTCTTCCCGCACTCTGTACATTCATAGGCTTTCTGCCAGGTGTGCACCTGCTGGTGCTGGAGGAGCTGACAGTTCTCGTAAAAGCTCTTCCCGCACTCGACACACTTGTAGGGCTTCTCCCTGGTGTGGGTTACCTGGTGCCGGATCAGATTCGAGCTCACACTGAAGCTCTTCCCACAGGTCCTGCACTCGTAGGGTTTCTCCCCGCTGTGGACCCGCTGGTGTTTTATCAGGGATGAGCTCAGGCTGTAGCTCTTCCCACAGGTCCTGCATTCGTAGGGTTTCTCCCCAGAGTGCAACCGCTGGTGCCGGATGAGCTGTGTCTTGTTGGACAAGCTCTTCCCACACTCGGCACACTTGTAAGGCTTCTCCCTCGTGTGGGTTACCTGGTGCTCAATCAGCTTTGAGCTAACGCTGAAGCTCTTCCCGCACTCGGAACACACGTAGGGTCTCTCCCCAGTGTGCACCCGCTGGTGCAGAACAAGCTGCGAGTTCTTGGCGAAGCTCTTCCCGCACTCGGCACATTTGTAGGGCTTCTCCCCAGTGTGGGTTACCTGGTGCTCAATCAGATTTGAGCTCACGCTGAAGCTCTTCCCGCAGGTCCTGCACTCGTAGGGTTTCTCCCCGGTGTGCACTCGCTTGTGTCGTGTCAGGGATGAGGACATGCTGAATCTCTTTCCACAGATCCTGCACTCGTAGGGTTTCTCCCCAGTGTGTACCCTCTGGTGCTGGACAAGCTTTGATTTCTCTGAGAAGCTCTTCCCGCACTCAGCACAGGTGTAGGGCTTGTCCCCAGTGTGGATTACCTGGTGACGGATCAGCTTTGAGCTCACACTGAAGCTCTTCCCGCACTCGGAGCACTCGTAGGGCCGCTCCCCTGTGTGCACCCGCTGGTGCTTGAAGAGATGTGACCGGTACTGGAAACTCTTCCCACATTTGTTGCAGGTGAAGCGTTTTTCTCCGGTGTGGATTCTCTGATGCTGGATGAGGTTGGAGCTCCCCTGAAAGCTCTTGGATCTCTGAATCCTTTCTGACCTGCGTGGGAGAACAGGGTCCTGTGCAGCACCCTGGGAACTGTTCTCCTCGGAGAGTCCTGAGAAGAAACCGTTGGGTTCCACTGGCCGGGGGATGCCCTGATGGGCATTGTTTTCATTCGTGCTCACAATCCTGTCTTCAGCTGCAATAAAATGAGAATCCAGACAAGTCACAGGCAGGACTGGAAGCTTTGGACAGAGCAAATCCCAAAGGGCCGAATGCTAAAAATTCAGCAAATAGATTGACTTTAAGTATAAAACATCCTGCTATATCTGCGTTCAGGACATGGTATTTCCTTCCAAATTACACAGTGGCTTTTTCAGTGTTCACAGGGACAAATGCCGTAAATTACCCTGCATGCTTCACCAGAATCTGAATCTACTGAAATCACTGGCATATTAGAGGCAAAAGTTTACTGCTTGAATGGGAAAGATGCTTGCTCTTCCAGGATGGTGTACCTGAAAATCATAGAACCACAGGATATTTTTAGCTGGAATGGACCTTACAGATCACATCCAGTTCCAAACTCCTGACGTGTGCAGGGACACCTTGCACTAGACCAGACTGCTGCAAGCCCCATCCAACCTGATCTTGAACAGTGCCAGGGATGGGGCAGCCACAGCTGCTCTGGGCAACCTGTGCCACAGCCTCAGCACCCTCACAGGGAAGAACTTCTTTCACCTTATCTACATCTCCCCTCTGTCAGTTTAAAGCCATTCTGCTTTCTCCTGTCCCTACTTGCTCTTGTCAAAAGCCCCTCTCCACAATTCCTGTTGGGCCCTTTACGTGCTGGAAGCTGCTCCAAAATCTCCCGAGAGCCTTCTCTTCTCCAGGCTGAACAAGCCCAGCTCTTTCTGCTTGTCTCCACAGGATGTTACTAAAAGTTGAACTGGGAGTCAGAGGAAGGCCATAAAGAACTGCCCTGTTCAGCAAAACATTACTTGGGTTGCAACAGTAATCTCTGTATTCTTGTGCTGCCGGTACTGCAGAGAAAGAGAAGATGCACAAGGCATGAGACACAGACACCACCTGGAGCCTGGCTTATGCCACTCTTAGAGCAGAAGACAATTAAGTTTATGCTTTCACTGGTGCAGAACAAATCCGTTGTGCGTGCAAGGTGGTGGGGGAACTGAAGATCTCCTATGGCTGGTTCCATATCATGCAATGAGGAAATCAGATACATGTAGAAGATGAAGGTAGGTGCAAGTCGAATTAAGGGTAGCTGAACAGTTACGAATGGCTCCTGAGACAGAGGCAATGAAGAGATCCCTGCCCTCTCATGTACATAAAGTCTTGAAGAAGCGTTACTGCTATGAATGTTCACTACGCAGACCCGAGGTCAACTGAAAGTCTGTTCAAGACAAGGGGCTTGTGCTGATTTCTAGGGTGTTTCCTGAGAGCAGCTCTGAATGTGGTTTGATGAGCATGTAGCAGGTTCAGAAGCACATGCCCCCAACAATGCTGTGCTTTTTGCTGTCCACAGGAAACATAGCTCTTTGCAGGCTGAATGAGCAAGGCAGGACCTGTGCGACATGCACACAAAGCACATCTCCAGATCTGATTAAAGATTCAACAGATATCTTGTGGTTCTCTGAACACTCTTACGAAATAAACCAGTAATTTATCGGTCGCATGGGATTGCTGTACAAACCACAGGCATCCTCCTGTTGTCTGGCAGAGCTGTGAGAAGGAAGTGCAGGCCATGGAAGAGGTGAGGTGCTACTGAACTGTAAGTGTGCAATAAAGAGACTCTAGAAGTTTGACCCCAGACTGATATATGTACATATTTCATCTTCCTCTTTCTAGGAAGCACAAGAAAACATCACAATATGATTTCACAGTGAACTCCTAAGATACCTTCTGTGGCAGGTTGCTGTGGTAGTGATGCCACTTCTTCCCTCACATAGTATTCATTAAAACCATCCCTTGAGAGGAACAGAAACTGCAATTTTGCTATTTACCATGAAGGCATTTCCACTTGTCTGCAGCTACTCCAGCCAGGCCTGGAGGAAAAGAGCAAGGTGATATCCACAGACAGGATGGAAAGAGGATGTTTCTGGCAGGCCAGCATGAAGCTCCTGACCCGTTTTTCAGACTTACTGAGTAGACAGTGGCGATACCAAAGTTGTTCTGTTGCCGCTGTGCCCAAAGAGGTGCTAACTTTGGCACTTACAAAGAAGTATGGTTCTTTAGATAGACGTTGAAAAAGCCTTCAGAAGTACATGACAATTAAGTTTTCTATGCTGTTCTATACTTTTTTTGGAAGATCAGGAGTGTCAACCTTGTTTTTACAATTATTGTAACAGCTCTACAATCATTTCTGTTACTTCTGAGCTACTAGGTACCTTCACTGGCATCTAGGACACGCTGTCTGTAAAGGCTTTGATCAAAACCAAGACAGGAACTCACCGGAAGTATTTCAAGTGGAAGGAGAGCAAGGTCACAATGATGAGGATTTAATACTAGAAGCATAAGGCTGAACTGGAAAAAATGAAGACGAGAAACATGAAGAATGTGGCTCTTCCTCAGCCCATGCCAATTTGGGTTGATGGCAAGACCTCTAAAATGCCAAAGAGTGCCAGTGCTATAGCTACAAGGCAAGCTCCAGGTAAGCAGAGTAAGCTGCTGGACTTCTGACTGCTGTACCTCACTGCTGGGACTGAAGGTGGCTGTTGTGATGCCACAGAAAGGGCTGGAGGGGAGATCTGGCATCCACATTCCAAGCAAACAAACAGAAATCTGATCATAAGAATTAATGGACAGATGGCGAGAGGACAGACAGGGGAAGACCTGGCACGGCCTTTGGAAAGAGACTCTCACTTCACAAACCACTTTGAGTTCTTCAGAGATGTCCCCAGCTTTACGAAAAGGGATATGTGGCGTCCAGACGCATTCCCCAAAGAAGGAAAAAGGAGGTGGAAACACTTGCTGATGATTTTGTGTTCCTCAGGGTTAAAGACAAAAAACCTGACTACAAACTGTGGCACAGCCTTGAGATACTGACCAACCAGGTGACAGGGGACGTTCACTGCAAGTAAACAAAGATCCTCAGAGGAGAACAGCCTCTACAGCTTGCACTTACACCAAGCTGGGATTAGGATGTTCTTGATATCATTCAGGAATAGCACCTTGGAGTCTGAGCAGCTGGATGAAAACTGCAGCTCCTAGGCACACAACACAGCCAATCAAGCATCAATAAGTGCTGGGGGGGAAACAACAGGGAAGAAAAGAGAATGTAATTCTGCCTTGCTGCTCAAACCCCGCATTCTTACTGCGTGCAAGGGGGAGGACAGATCCCCCATGTCAGAGACACTCTGGCAGAGCTGAGGAAGACAGAGGCATGACAGGAACCATCAGAGGCACAGAGCAGCTTCTGTATAGGAGATGAGTCAACTGCCCATTCTGCTGGGAAAAGGTACAGCTGATAGTGGGTATCACAAAGGACTATAAAAACACAAGTGGCCTGTGGGGTGGTTTGGCATCTATCCTGCACCATCTAGTCTGAATTAAGAACTCGTGCCAGCAGGAAAAGGCACTTTCAAAACAAACTAAAGGAGGCTGCAACTCATAAATCACCTAAATAAGCTGGGGAACTCCTTGCTTGCTGCAAGCTGCCACGGCTGCTACAATGTGCGCAGCTTGAGAAGGCAAGAAGATAGATCTTGAGACATTATGGGCCTAGTTCAGGAGCTTCTGAAGCCACAGACGGCTCAGGCCTGTGAAAGGATACAGGGACACATCACTGTTTGTCTGCCCTTCTCTGGATCTTGATCAAAGGCTGGGCCTGCTGCCTGCTGTATGAGGAAAGGCTGAGAGCTGGGCTTGCTCTGCCTAGAGAACAGAAGGCTCGGGGGAGACATGATCACCACAGTCCAGTATTTAAGGCTGCCTACGAAGAAGACGGGGGCTCCCTTTTCACAAGGAGTCACATGGAAAAGACGAGGGGTACAAGTTACTCCTGGGCAGATTCTGGTTGGACACAAGAGGAAAAGTTTTCCCAGTGAGAACAACCAGCCATTGCAATAATCTCCCCAGGGAAGTGGTGCACTCCCCAGTGTTGGACGCTTTAAAGACTCAGCTGGACAGGGCACTGGGACATCCAGTCCAGGTCATGCTTTGCCTGGAAAAGTTGTACTGGATGATCCTTGAGATCCCTCCCAGCCTGGTGCCCTGTGGCGCTATGAATACCGTCGCCACAGGCAGCAGGTGAAGCTGGACGGGCCCTGCTCCAACCCAGCACCTCCGCCCTTGTACATTCTGGGGGCGCTGGTGCTCCCGGAGCACTCTTTCTCATGACGGGTTCACACTGACGGCCCTTACCTGAGGTGCCGCTCAGAGCACTCTTCCCTTCGCAGGAGCGGGACAACCGCAGTTCCTCCTTCTGATCCATGTGGATGAGCATCTCCGGCGCCGCTCCGGGGAAAGAAACGAAGAGGGTCAGGCCAGCTGGGCTTTCACCGACCGCTACCAGCGGCGCGGCTCGGGAGCTAGCGGCTCCGCGACGAGCAGGGACCCCGGCTCCAAGGGGCGTGCAGCGGAAAGCACCGGGCCCCGCAGCACGCCCCTGCCAGGGAGGCTCACGCGGCCGCGGGGGGCGGGCTTCCGGGCCAAGCCCTACCGGGTCAGGCCCCGCTCCCTGCGGCCCGGCCAGGCCCGCCCTCAACGCCTGGGCCGGCGCACCAGGGGGGTGCTGCCCCGTGACGGCAGCGACCAGCGACGGGCGGTGCTTTCGCCTCCACGGCCGGAGGGAGATGGCGGCGCTGGGCTTCCGGTGGCGATGGTGCCGTCCTACGGTGGGGCTCCCCCCGCGGGCCTGCCGGTACCGAGTGATATAAGGAAAGCAACTGCCTGGAAAACATAGGGTTAAAATACTTTTAACTTCACTTAGGTCTGAGATAAAGAACAATGTTTGAGTTGTATGTCTGTGGTGTCATAACAG